GAAGAAACTCCTCCTAATATCCAATCTAAGCCTCCCTGGCACACCTTGAGACTCCTAATGCTCGATGTACAATACATTTTTACATATATTTTTCTTCCAAGGTAGTTAGTGTCAAAATGCAAATGATATAGGGGACATGGAAACTCGGAGYTAAAAAGTCTTCTGCTGTCATTAGCTGAGAGCAAAGGGAGATTAACTGTTAGGGACTGGAGTTATTTGCCTGCAATCTATTGCATTTSCAGGCAGAAAAGGTTAAAAAGAGAACTGACAAGGTTTAGGAACTATCTGTATTTCAGTGAAGCTTTAAATCAAGTTAACAGTCTCACAGCCCTTGGGGGATTTTCATATTTCCATAACATACAGTGGGTTTTTTGCTTCCCAATAGAAGCCAATCAGTTATGTAAGCAAATTGGTTGGACGATTATGCAAATGAAAAAAAAAATGATTCAACAGAAAAGTGAGCTGTTTGTTTCATTTAGGATTTATCTTAACTCACTGAGGAATAAAATAAATTGGGAGAGATCAGCAAGTGCCACCGCCACATACCGGCTCCACTGTTTAGGGTACACATTTTCAAAGACAGCCCCGCTCCTGCTCCGGTGCAGGAATTAATTCCTGCTTTYTAGCTATGTCTCAACATTTACTGTRCCGATGGGAGTACCACTGTGGCTTTATCTGGTCACGACATTCCTTATACATACCCAGGACACATCCCACTAGCTCAGCAAAARTGACACAGATTTCCAAATGGAAAGCTTGTTTCATACCAGATAAAATTATAATCTGAAAAAGTTTGTATTTTGACCTTTTGTGCCCTAACAGAGAATTTTAAGCATTCTTGTTTCTCAATTCTAAGTTGCTACAAGTGGCCATTGGAACTGTTATCTCCTTGCTCCATTTGTTTCTTTTCAGTCCTCCCTCTGAGTAAGGTCAAAAAACATCAGTTTCTCCAATCTCATCATGTGCAGTGGTACAGAACTCTGAGACTATCATGCCAACATTCATTTCTAATGCTGCAAATCATTCTAGTAATTTTTTTCAAAAAAGTTATGCAGAAGTTAAAACTGAAAAATATAGAGCTGGCATTTGCAAAAAAAAAAACCTGCAATAAAACCACAAAGATCCAACATGCATCTGGAGAATGTGAAAGGACAAAAAATGTGAATTGCTTTTCCTGTGGCTAAATTCTACTAAGCTGAGGAGTAAGGCATTTGGATTTTAGTAATTGTACTACTTGTACTACTAAACTTGTACTACTATAGCAGACTAAACATAAAATGATGTTTTACTATTACTCTTCATGTGAAACTCTCACTAACATCTTTTTGAATTCTTCAGTGAACTGAGCACAGCCTGTAACTCTGGCTGTAGCCTCGACTCCCAGTCAAAGCTGGAAGCTGGCCATCTCCACAGCTGGGAGTTTCAGCCCAATTTATTCATGAGCATTTGCTACATTGTGTGCTCTGGTGTGATGAAAAACTGCTTAGTCTGACTGATTTCACACTTTCTTAACCTCATGCTGCATATCATACTCTAGATTCTTGTAGTAGCTACAAGATCTTAAACTCTCCACCCCTACTTACTGCTGCCTGCCTTTCTGTATATCTAAGAGTATTCACAGGTATCTGAACAGAATGAAATAATTTAATGACAATACAGACTCACAGATATTTTTGAATGCTTTATATAAATAATAAAAAAAACATTTATTAACAACAACTCCTCCAAAATGCTCCCCTCCACCCCCCATTACTCTTTAAAAAACACCAGAAAACTATGAAGCTTCTATTTCCAGTTTCTCAACTCCATCCCATATGTGGGTTAAGAAGCTCTCAAAATCATCAAAACTTCGAATAAAATTGTGGTAAGTCTTCCAAACCACATTATTCTATTTCAGTTACAAGAAACTGTCCATGCCCAACAAAAATAATCTTTCCAAGAGCACAGTGTGTTATCAGTGAAAACTGAAGAAAGATTTTCACAGAGGGAATTTCTCACRCATCTAACAAACTGAAGGAGCACAGTGTTGTCCACTCCAAGCTACTGAGCACAGCACAGGAAAGTTTGTATTTGCACATTTTCTTGTCTCTCTATGCAAGCAGGTAAACATACATTTTATTACCTATATGAAGAATTATATCAAATAAGTTGTGTAATGTCAAACATAGAAGTTCTTTCACCATAACTTATAGCTGGGGAAAAGCAAAAATACGGATATTGTCTACTGAGTGGCTGGGTCTGCAAAACTGCATTTCCTCTGTTGTACTTAACTTTATTCTTCAGAACATTTTTTATCTTTTCAGGCTCGTTTTCATTCCACAGTGGAGTTTTGTCCTGTTTGGCACAAGGAGTTTGTGTTATCAAAATACTGAGAAATGTTACTTGAAAAACCTTTCTGGGTGTCTGACACACATCAAAATGACGAAATTCGCATTGTATTTCAYGTGGACCCAGACAAAACAAAAATGTGAAATACAGGACTTAACAGAAAATTTSTTTAAACAGAAAATTTGTTTAAATTGCCTATTGGTTTATCATGGTGATACAGGGAGAAACTATATTGACAGAAACACCAGAAGCCTCAGTTGTAACAAAACTGAGCAATGGTGTGGGGAACTTGCTTGTTACTATAAAACATGACTGAGATTATATCCTRTCAGCTGAAGATGATACTCAGGAGATGGAGCCAAAACATTGCAAAAATTTTACACAGTTCCAAGTTAAGCTTGAAGGTCAATGATTAACCTCTGTCTGAAAAATAAAGCAAYATTTGGAGTTTTGTTCTGGGGATGAGCTAAGTGAAAATTCAAGGTTGCTTATAGTGGGAAAAATTCTGCTGTCTCTAGAACATCCTAAACTTTGAAGCCATACAGATTACAAAGAGAATTTTTTCCTTCTGTGCCTGTCAAACACAGTATTAGYCACATTGGGTATGCTTACAGAAATATGGGATTTAGCTGAGGGTCAGATAGCCTCTGTCTAATTCCAAGGGAGATTAAGCTACAAAGGATCTTAYGAAAAGTAATTACCAAAAATTACTTAATTCCTTACTACCAGTTTTAGTTGCTGGAACCTTCCAAAATTGGTCTTTTCACTAATGCTGGAGTGGCTGCAAGAGCATCAGTTTAGATCACTCATCTGAAAYCTGATTACTTCTTACCCAGTCTTTCAGCCACTGGGAAGCAAAAGCAGCACAATCCAGCTGGATTTGACCACGTGGATAACTTTGCAAATGGCAGAGCCATCTTCGTGAATATGAAGAGGTGCAACCCAAGAGTTTGTTTGAACCTGTGCCAACTGTACTCTAAGACAGGTGAACAGYTTCTAAAGAAATGCCATCTGATACCGTTGGTACTGAATATACCATGTTTTACAAGGCAGGCAGATGAGATCCCTACGGAAGAACGAGATACCCTGTGAAAAGACAAGAGCCTCCATGTTTGCATTTTTCTGTACACATTGGCACAGGAGGAAAGTAGTGATCTTGGCGGTCATCAGATTCAGTCCYCTCTCTTCCAGTAGCAACTCTCTAACTGACTGGATGAGAAGTGGTATTGAAAAAGGCCAGGACCTGGCTGTGAAGAGGTAAGGAATCTAACAACTGACAATCAGATTTGTGACATCAGATAAATGGCATAAACCCCAAGACTGTAGTGGCAACCTCCCCCAAAAGACAAAATCCACTCACACCAAAAACCTCTACAACCATCCAGTACTAAGAGCATGATGGTTTTCATGATTCAGAGCTGCAAAGGATATCTGCAATAATGACGTAGGAACTGGGAAGAGACTGACACTGTCCCAAAGGAGAGACATTTTTCAAGCACTGAGGTCTTACACCACCGTCTTGACCTCACTTGCGATGGAGCAGTCTAAAAASTCATGAACTTCTATATCCAAAAGAGCTAAAGTGTTCAGAATAAAAGGCTTTAAAAGGGATGGAGAGCAGGACCAAAAGAGCTGTATTAYTGGCAARTTWRTGARGGTTRGTACTGGAGATGTAAACTAACAACACTACAAAAGTGATGAGCTCAGATAAGCATCAACTTTGACAGAGGTCTCAGAGATTGTTTTGCTGTGAGAGTTCTTCTGATATTGTATGCTTGGTTCTTCTTACTCAGCTTGTGGAGAGTGACTTAAGCAACTCATGCTTTGAATCTGATTCAGGATTTTCAGGTGGAAAAAARGCAGAAATCCTGAGGAACTAGGAATGGTGGAACAAGCTTGCTGTAAGTCTCCATCTCATCATGCAGTTAGCAAAATCTAAAAGATGGGCAAACTCACCTGTCTCTAAGAGCACAATCGAGGGAGAAAGCAAGTTCTCCTTTTCAGTGGAAGTATCCATATATGCAAATGTGAAACCATACATAAGCTATTAACTAAATTTGTATCAAATAAATATCTACCTAAGTTATCAACTAAACCTTCAGCTGTGAGCAAAATGTGTAGGCTCTCTCAGTTCTGTGAAGGAAGGTATCCTAAGTCAAGCATGTCTCAAGTGATTCTGAAGTTATTTTCGTCCCTGTGCTTTTTATTGGGCTTTTGGAGTAAAGAAATGAAGATCTAATGTGCAAACAGTTGGGACAGTGTCCTCACAACTTACTGTGAGGAAGACAAAAGGAAACATGTATTACTTCTACAGACTATGAAGCAATGTGGAAAATGTTTCACTCAAGAATAGGAGATACACTCAATCAATGCACTTACCTACACTTTTACCTGTACTTACACTACACTTATATGAYCACCTGCTGGGAGAAACAAGCTAGTGCTAATTCTCTAAGAATGGATAATGGAGGTTCGGAGGCTGAAGCTTTCTCATTATCTAATTATGCCATTGAAAAACATCTATATAAATCGGTGTGACAGTTTACATCRTTAGGGAAGAAACTGCTCTTTCTGGGCTGTCGTCTGCATTATCATTAATATAGTATTTAAAAACAAAACTTGAATTGATACCTTGCTGTAAATCAGTAATGCATAGTCTGAACACTGTGGGAACTATTTAGTAACTAYTGAAACAGCCAGACCTTCTCAGCCCATTTCATATTCTCTTGAAGCCATTTTAGAGCAGATGTATGCCCCAGGCTGTAAACTTCTTCCATATTAACATTCATTGTCATATGCTTAAGGAAAAGCTTTGGATCAGATAAACGAGCTGCTTGGATCAGCCTCTCTACTGCCATATGATAGCCACTGTTATTCTGAACTGTCCCATCTTCACACCTGTAAGGGAATTTTAAAAAATACAAAATTAGGTACCATACAGGCCCTCGGTCACTTGCCTGACACTTTGTATCAGTGCTAAGATTACAAAACCATTAAAATAGTGCCGTGTATTTATTCACTGAAAAGAATTATATTAATTTCTAAACAGATTTTAGATTATTAGCCTGAAGAATTAAGAAGTTACAGAAAGTATATTTTTAACATGTTTTATGGTAATGAAAAGTAACAGGCTTTAATGCCAGTGCAAAGTAGCTTTGCAATATTCACAGCACATTTCATGAAAAAAGTTCGTTTCTGGGCTGGAAAACTCAGTAAAGGAATGCAAACCATTTAATGGATATAGCAAGAATTCATGTACCTGCTTGAATCCATAAAGTTTACTCAGTTTTGGCATGTAATCACTTTTGGAACAAGGCTGTGCCTAAGTGACACGCCTATATTTTTTGCAAGAGCAGAACTCACTCTTTAAGAAAACAAATAGATATACTATACCATACACATGGAAACAAGAGATAAAAAACTTCTCACTTATCCAAGGAACAAAATTAGGAGATGCATTCTTTGGGATGGATATGGAAAATAAGACCTATTACTTACAAGATAAAATGATCAAGTACAATCAAAATGGTACATATCTGACAACAAACCTTTTCAGTATTATTTGAAGAGTCTGACTAGTACTTCTTTGAATATCACTGGCATTTGAAACAAGAAATATTTCAATGGTCAACAGCATCTCAACTTCAGACAGGTAAGAYGGAATCCTCAGAAGTTTATGATATAAATTTCCTTGCAACTCTGGGTAGCAACCCAGTGATAAAGCATCTGACAATAAATGCAGAAACATGAAGAATTAGGAATACCAATACTGAACACAGATCTGTTTTCTTCTGTGTGTCACTAAATGCAGAAAAAACCAACCCCAAAGCCTTAACGGATTAGACTATTTCACCTATGAAATGGCCTGATTTGAGAACACAGAAAACAGTATTCACACATAATATTCACTGTTGTAAAATGTTTTTTTTTTGTTCAGTGGGTATTATCAGCTATGATAAAAAGCTCTGTCTGGGGACACAAAGTGTATAATAACACAAATACAATTTAGGCARAAGCTGTCAGACAGAAGTTGTTAATCATCGTTAAAGTGAAAGAACATTTGAACAGCATCTCCTGCATTTTGTCTTCTGTCAAGTAATCCCAGTAACCCAACCAATACAGCATTTCAGGGGAAAAAATGGATGAGGAAAACCAGTAATTTCAGTATTAACAAACCCAATTATCCAWCCCAGAAAGGATGGACTCTTAAAGCAGTCTTCTAACCACCACAATTCTAAGACAGAATCAAACAGTAAATAATGTAACAATATGGAGAGACCCTATGCAAAGTGGCACACACAGTATTATCTTTGCTCAGAAATGGGGAGCTGAAAACAATTACAGACTATTATCTTTTAATTGAAAGGAATTTTCTAATAGTTAGGATAAACCTATTAGCCAGGCTTCCCACATCTTAAATATTAATGATTTTACAACCACAGAGATGGTAGAATACTTCTATAGAGAAGCATCAGGAAATCTAATTTGCCTAGATTAAAAGGTGAAGATGATGCATTTTTCAACCATTTCAGGGTTCACATACCTGAAGTTTTGAAACTGAATGTAAAAAATTAATTATATCATAATTACATGTATTTCATGCCAAGTATTATGCACTGTTTCTTATTTTCAACACACCACTTGCCAATAAATATTTTGGTTACAAATAAATTCCTGAAAGTGACACAGAAAGTACTGTTTTTCTTCTTAGTCATTTCTCCCCAACATAGAGCTGATAATGAGCACATTATCCAAGGAATGTAAGGGGAGGATATTGTTTAAGAAGCAACTTACTTTTGTAATAAGTCCTTGCTTTAGACCATAAAGAACTTCTTCCCAAAGCTGTGATTAATCTTCTAAGTAAAATAAAATCAATAGAAATATTTTTGAAAAGCATGAAGTCTACTGCAGAAGATGAGACCCCAAGGTTCTTGTTCTCAAAACAGGCATTTATCAGCTTGTTAAAAAGGCAGCTGTATTCAGAAGTATCTACAATACCTGAAATGAAGAATATTCAAATAAAAATATCAATAAAAAAGAATATCAAACAAAAATCTAATTGAAGAATAATTTTTTCAGTCAGTACCTAGATCAGAACTCTTGTCTCTATCAGCAAGATGGAACATGGTTGGGATAACATGAATGCTTCATTTATCAGAAGTCTTTTTATACAGTAGTTCATTCACATTGTGAAGGGCAAGTACTAAGGTTCAAGTAATAATCTGCTGCCAAACCCAACAGAATCAGATACAAATACGTTCACTTGCTCAAACCTATAAATACAATGTTCATCTGATCTCTCAGACTTAAGACTTCCATCAGGAAAAATTCCCTTGRTACTTCCATTTCTGCTTCTGCTCTTACTCTACCTGCCTCATTTCTGGCAGGACTGAGCAGCCTTGTATTCACCTCATAACTCAAAGAACTAGATCCTTTCAGTATTCTCTAAGCAGATGGTCTTCCAACCAATCTCTCCTAACATATCCAAAAACATACACTAGCAATAGACTGAAACCTACACACAGGAATCAGCTGAGCTTTCCTCAGTGAAACCAAAGTAACTGGGTATCTCATTTTGAAGTACTTGTCCAAAATTTGCAAGATRAATTGAGCCCTGAGAGAGCACTCAGTTCTTAACATGCTATGTAAGAGATGCCTATGTTAGTTAGCTCATTTAAAGAAAAATATCCCCACCTCATACACCTGAAAGTAAGATAAAATTAATTGTGCCAGTGATATCCCTACTTTATCTCATTCAGGTTTTTCCTGTTACCCTGTGTAACTGAGCAAAAGAGGACAAGTGTACATCCAAGTGTGTGTGCACATGTGCAGCAAGAGCTGCAAGTACAACACATATTTTAACTAACRCTGCACTCTTTGGAAAAAAAGACACAGGTTTGTATAAACCCRTATCACTTCTTCAATAAGTTTTAGTTAGAAAACACTCCAAGAACAGCACAGGATTATCTGTTAAATTTTTAGCTCTTAACACAGTATAATTTTCTTTACTTACCAGAATGTTTCTGCAAATCTGGTAAGTTCTGCAGAACTTCAAATGCCTGCCTGTACAAACTTTTCCTCAAGTATTTGTGCACTATTGCACATAACAGATGATGTCGATTGACGATGTCCATTTTATCACAGGGCCACAATGGTGCGTCTGTGATCCACTCTGATTCTGCAGCAAACAACAGTGCAGCATTATTTCAAGGAACTGGAATTTCTGGATGCTGAGACTTTTGGCTGTTAGGAATGTACTGTGAACTATACCARGAGACAAATTTCAGAATTGCACAGAAAGTGCAGCTGAAGTTATTAATTCGTTCCTTATGACCAATACTCCTCAGACTGATCTCTGAACCTTTATATTATAAATCACCCCTTCTGTGAAATAACACTGCAGTAAAATGGACTATCAGTGGCATATATAAATATATACGTATCTATATACATCTGTGAAACTGAATAGCAAATCCTCAATTTGAGGATGTTTCTCAAACATTCTACTTTTACACTTCAGAATTTCTTCTTTTCAGCAGATCAGAATTCCAAAAAGCCATATGCAATAATTGCAGAAATATGGTACTGTTCTAAAGCAATTATATTAAATGGGAATACTGTGAGGCGCAAAGGAACACTGCATCTACCCAAGCCAGAAATTTTTTTGACACTGAATATTCCCTGGTTCAAAGGAAAACTACATGGGACAGGGTCATTTTCCATGCTGCACTCCTCCCTCATTACAGCAGATTTTTTAGTAGAATGGTGTTGACAGCAGACTACTGTGAATTCTTCTGAAAAAATCAGGCATTAGTTCTAATACTTCTTATATTTATCAAGAAGAATACTAACCAGTAAGATGGAACACATTTTCTTTGTTGTGCCAATATTATTAACTGTATTTATTAACACAAACAAGCTTGTAACTCTGATTTGAAATCTGTCATAGAAGTGAACTGTTCAAAATTAAGTCAAAACTCTAAGACAGGCTTACCTCTCAATACCCTCGTTGCTCCATCCAAATTTCCAGAATGAAGAAAGATTTCTGCAGCTTTGTTAACAATCTGACATCTCGATGCTGACCTCCCGGCACCTACAAGTCCTTTTAAGAGTGTAAAGTCTATCTGCAGCTCATGTAGTTTATCCAAAACCTTCCTTCCCTAGTATAACAGGAAGAAGGGAAAGGGGGAAGGTTGGAGAAAGCARTGGTATACCATAGAGTATATTTATATGAAATAGAGTAGATTTAATTTGGTGATACAAATTTACAGGCATTGGTTCAGTTATCCAGACTGAGTCAGGGGTGAAGTATAGTAAAATTTCTAATGAAGAGTTTGTTTTTTGTTACTGTGTAGAGAAAAAACTACCAACCTATGGTTGAAGAGTTCCCAACACACTATTATCCATAACATTATTTCTACTGTGTAATGTCCAATACAGTACTTTTTAATATACTTTGTAATTAATTTGTATTTGCTTACTTTGGTTTATTAATATTTTTGATTCCATTCAGTACTACATAGTTTACAAAATTCTGAAAGATCATACAGAGAGCTTTCATTTTGCAGCAGAGATGCAACTGTTAAACTGAAATAATTACTTCAGCGTAAGTCAAAGCAAACACTGATGAATGTATGCAACAAGACAATAAACTGGAAGAAGTTGGGCCTATCTGGCCAACACTGTAACAATCAATAAATTTATCATCAGATTCCAGATTGATATTTAGACTGGTTTAGTACAGAGGCTTCATCTTAACAACTTTTTGGCTATCCCTTTCAGTCAAAAATGGAAGAAAGRTAGCAAAGATAATTAATATTTGAATCTAAAAATAAGAATGAACGAGTCAADGTGAGATATCAAAATAATGTCCCCAGCAAGGCAGGGGCCACACAGAATTAAGTACTTGTCCCACATGGTTGCACCTTGTTAGTCAAGCAACATGAACAAAACTCCAAACCAGATGTGTTTCAGCTCTTGCTGAGCAGATGCACCAATGAGGAGRTGGCTTATTAAAAACTGTGGTTATGTGTAAGCATTCACTGTGATGGCAGAATGAGGGCCATGGAGGCAGAGGGAAAGAGAGGTTTAGGAKAACAGAGAAGTTGACAGAAAGTTACTTATTAAGAAGCTCATTTTTTAAAAAATGCTTTATGCATATGTACATATACACTATGGACTGGTATGTATTCAAAACTGGACACTTTTGAAGGTGTACAGGTATCTATAATTTATTTCAGCTTAACTCATAAAAATACTGCAGTTAACATTTAAGGAGTAAAGAATCCATTCAACTGTAGATGTATGAGCTTGAAGGGGAAATTTACACACCAGAAAGATTCAGGTGAAACTTGAAATCTAAGTGCAAACCAGAAATGAMATACAAAATTAAGGAAGATCTATGTCTATTCCACCCTTCTGGCAAAAGAAGTGRCCACTAGGAAGTGGTCTTTATAGGAAAATCAAAAATATGTAGCTAAAAGCAGAAAAATGACCCATAAAGGAAAAGCACTCAATTAAAATGCAGTTGTAGAATGAGATCCTTAATTGGATTAGAACCTCTGCCCAATTCTCTGAAATATTAAAAAGCTGAGTAAAAATAAACCATAACAATGTCTTTCAAGAAGAGCTCGAAATATGAAGTGGATGRAGTAGCTGCCAAAGCTGCATTAACRTTACAGAATGCTCTACAAGTAAGTATAAAGAAAGCAGCCTAATGTTGCTTGAAAAGCTGTCTCTACAGAAGACATATACAGGTTGCAAATCTGCATGCTCTTTTAAGTAYATCTGTTTTGTGAACTTTCCTTACCTCTTACCATACAAAGAATATTCTCTTCAGGACTAAGGAGCAYACGTATTTTACCCCTGAGACCCACCGAATGTCAAAGCTCTGCAATAAAGGGGTTTGATGTTCATGAAAAAAATKATCTGAAAAGCACATTTAGAGTTTCAAGGAGTCCAACATATTCATAAAACAGCACAGGGCATGTTCCTAAAGCCAAAATTAAYTTGGGCAGAGCAGGAAGAGCAAATCCATTACTACCTTACTTTCTGGACCACCTTTTGGGAAAAAAAAAGATACGGTATCAAGTAGATAGTAGCCCATAATGTGCTACATATAATGGAGTGAAACTGGTAGAGAGAGGTAAGAATGACAAGTTTCCCGAAGCAGAGATCAGCTTGGGATCTGCCAGTTCTGAGAAAAATCATTCAGAGCAGAGCCTCATTCACAGTCTGATATGGTCAACACAGGTTGTCTACAAGGCTGTTTCAGGATCTTGGTCAGYAATCTCTTGAGAAGCAGGTTTGATACCTAACTCAACACTCTCAAAGAAACAAAAGATCTTTTGCTCTAGACATGAAATAAATCATAGTACTGTGAGAAGCATTAGAAGTTACTAATACATTTAGTAAATCATGTTGCACAAAAGTAAGACTACAAATGATTTTCACACCTTGCACCTCTGAAATTAGGACATGAAAATGAATCTTCTCGGAATACCAAGGGTTGTGCAATCCAAGTATCAGGGTCKCCCTTAAGATGGATCTGGAAAAGAGGCTAAAATTCATGAAGKCATACAAACACTGTATGCTGAAGAAGACAGCCAAAATGCAAGCCAAAGGAAATTCCTCAGTGGCCACATGAGCACTACCACTCCTCAAGGGCAAGAATTTGTTGTCTTTGTCTCTCATTATGTCTTCCATGGTGAGGAATACCTTAACTGCTCTAACTGTTAAGTTTTTGGGACAAAATGCGTAATAAGTTCTAGTGCAGTATTACCCAAGTGCTAATGCAAATACCCTCTCTCCTTCCCTTTACCCTTACACTGATACCACACTGTCCTGCAGCTTGACAGTGTACTTCCTGCTGAAGACCATTCAACTCAAGAAGCTGATACTGCAAAATTAATGATTCATCAGAACAGATACCCTGTCTCTAGACTAAGCACCTCTATCAAATGATCTCCTGGGACTTGGCTTGACCTTGGAAACAGACTGAGTGGTGTGCAGGTTTTCTACATAACAGAATTCCTGAAGGTCATCCCTTAGAGACAATTGTACAAAAGACAATATAATTCCTTGGTGCATACCAGAAAGGGTTTCCTGATGATAATTCATGAAAAAAGCCAATCCAAAACCTCAGGAGACAAAAGGGAATGAGATTGTTTGTTTCTGTTCATAAAAATTCATGCTAGAAATCATCCTCCTCTGGGATGAGGAACATCCCAGTACAGCATAATTATGAAAGGATGAGCCCAAGCTCAGAATGAGATCACTGACCAAAACACAYTCTAAAATCCCTAGTGGTTTATATTATTTCTTACGCTCTCACTTGACATGTTGCTTTCTATAAGAAAATAATTCCTGTAAGAAAAAACAGTTTGGTCTGCACTAGTTCCTTCCAGGAAAACAAAGACAAATTTAACATTGAAATGGATCTTGCTGCAGTGAAATCATGACCAATACTGCCTGGGGCCTAAGGTATCTAAAACATCCAGTCAAAAGTCTGTGCAATATTTGACAATAAAGATATGATTGTAAAGGATTTCTTTGTGATGTCTGAGTTTTGCAAGATTCACAGAACTTAGAAACTTAGATTCAACGGAAGAAATGCACTTCCAGCAGTGTTMTGAGGAACAAGCAGTTCACCAAGTGCAGCCTTGCAACACTGCTTTTCTGTCTTCCAAGCCTTATCCATTCCATTTGAGATTAGATGCAAGAACACCAGTGMAGGAAAATGCCCTAACTTCTCTAAATATCACTTGAACTGGGAGGTTTCAGAATGCAGCATGATTACCAGGTGGAAGAAAGTGACGTTTCTGGGAAACAATTTCATCAGCAGCTCACCCCAGAATATCAGGAAGATCTGTCTCTTAGCTCAGACTCAACCTCAGCTCAGAAAAATCACAAGCTGAACCTAAGCAATCAGATTCTAGGTTGCAAGACAAGGTTATGATGGGCTCCATAGAAGAGTACTGCTCAGAAAGGTACAATAAAATGCTTCAGTCCAGCTGGACAATTAAGAAGTACTAAGATGCCAGGGCAGGTCGCACACCCAGATATTCCACTAGAGAAACACAGTTTAATATACAGAAATTCTAATTCTTTTTCTTCCAGTTAGGTTCCTGTAGCCCTGCATACCTTTATCCACTGCAGTACTTTGTGATATGAATACATTACGCTTATCCCAGTCCTTCCAATAAAAAGTCTGTCTGTTTCATTAGGGTGTGAATTTTTCATGACTAGAAAGAAAAAGAAAAAGCCTTTTTTATAAAAAAAATCACAAAAATGCAGTTTTAAAGAAATTACACAGACTTCAAAAATATAGTCCTTGTGAAAATACTAAATACATTTTCTGAAGTATTTGCCATTAAAAGTAGCAACTTGCTAAGTCTTAGCACCAGAAATAAGAACAAATAACTTATTTTATACAAGTAAGTTTATTCATACGATACTGCATAGCAGTCTAAATCATCCATAAAATGCTTGGACATGTAATGGCATCATTTAATAACATCATTGGTTGTAAAGTAAGCTTTACATTTTCTGGCAACATGAAGCAATTTTGGTAATTGCAGAACTGAGAATTTACAAGCTTTTCCCATATTATTATACAACCTCTTTGGAAGCACTGTTGGTATTTTAGAGCAGTAGTCTCAAATAAGGGTGTGAGCACAACAGTACATTCAGCTGTGGAAATACTTTTTGTACTACTAGAAAATAAAAATAAATAAAGTATTTTAAAATGCAGATTTATATCACATCTGTAATTTCTATTTCTGTGTATGGTTTATAATGCATTTAATATATTGGTTTAGTAGCACATGTATGTAATATATAAAGAAATAAACTGGGGGAGACTGCTCAAAAATTTTTTACTGATGGAGGTGCCAAACAACTCTCCTAGTTGGGAGACCACTGCTCTAGGGAAGACAGCTCCATGCTCTAACAAAATGCTCTTCCTGTGTCACAACTGGAAGCTCTGACAGCTTTTTTTATAATATGAATGTCTGTGGTCAGAAAGGTCATGTCACATACCTGGAATAAAAATTGATTATGATTTTGTACACAGAACAGGTAGAAAAATATCTCTGTAGTCCTTTATAAAATGATTTAACATTCCACTGACACTTCACCAAGCTTCAGTGATCTGCAAACTCATGACGAAGAACGATACACATATGCAAGTGAAGTGGCTTAGGGAGGGAAGAGCAAGAAAACCTACCAGAACACCTGCCAGAACTATTAAAACATTGTGTTCTTGAGCACCCAGCCCTTGCAGAAACCTTTGGTTCTTCAGGGAACAAAATAATTTTAAAAATCCAACTTACTAAAATCAAATTATAAGTTGTATACATGATGTTCATGTATACATGATGTTCATGTAACCATGAAGTTCAATGTGCTTTAAAATACACAACTATATATATATTTACAGTGCTAAAGTTTATGCTATTAACAGTGTGACACTTCACATGACAATACTTAAATACACTTGGCTTTGTCCTGAGCATAGRCCATTTTTATTAAAAGATCATGAATTCTGGGCACTCTTTTTGATTTCACAAAAATCAACTGTTCCTCCTTCAGAACTTTCCTTGACTTTAAGTGTAAGCAACTATATATTTTACTTCTACTGGAAAATTGTTCTACTGAAGATGACAGCTGACTGTATTTGCACCTCAAAAAATTCAGAATATTGTAAAGTAACTAATAATCAGAGAACTATATTAATTACTTTTTTATCCCTTCTAAAAACTGCTCAAAAAGCATTTCTTGCATCTTAATTTTACCTGCATCAGCAAAATCACAAAAAGGAACTCCTGGTSTGTCTGTCTCAGAATCTTTGGTTAGAATTTCAGCAACAGATAAAAATAATTTCTGAAGATCATCAATATGTTCACATCCAGTTCTTGCATTAAGATACAAAGCTCCCAGCTTGGTCCAATCCCTTTTTTCCTTGCAATGCTGCAAAGAAGGCAAAGGATGAATATGAGCAAACCTGCTTCCAGAAAACCAAACAGAAAATATACTGAAATTTGAGATACAAACTTGGGATAGACTTAAAGGAGAAAAAAAAATGGAAACAAAATGCTACCGCCAAGAACYTTCATGTTGATATGGCAGTTACATGTTGCCAAACTTGCATGGACTGCTAATTACTTCTGTCCCTCAAGAAATTAAATTMATTTTTTCATGTCATGACCCCAATTGAGAAAGCTCATAACTTATTTACCCTATTTAGGAACTGGCATTTATTCAGGTTTTTTTTTTCCCATGATGCATGCTGAATTTATGGTTATTTTCTACAGGAATTAGTCTTTTGCTTGCCAGATCACTTGATGGCTTTGGTGTTAGAGGAGTAAAAATTCAGTCCTGTTTTCTCCCTTTTTATATTTCAGTCTCTGGATCTTCACAGGATATGCAACAATATGTAAACTAGATTATAATTATGCATAATGAGTAATCTGACCTTGAACATGAAAGACACAAGTGTCCAAATGAAGAATGTTTTACAATATTTTCTTATTCTTTAAAATACCTGCTTAGTGTTGTCAATGGTAGCTTTTATAATTGTGTATTTTTATAGTAGATATGAATTCTATCTGCTAAATAACGTATTAAATGAATTTTCGGTGAGGAATGATGTAACACTATCAATTACAAGCACAACAAATATGAAGCATAGGCAATAACTGCTAAAAGTTAAAAAATCTTTGAATTAGAGGCAAGACGAAAGTAAAAACTACCAGTGTGTAAATTAAAATACTGACATTATAGAAAGGGCAAAGATAGTTTTCTCCTGCCTGTTAAGCCTTCCCAAACATGGCTTTGCATGAAAGTATTTTATCATATGCTCACTTTACTTAATAATAAAGCCCTCTAATTACAAAAGGTGTAGAGATCATTATTTCTTTCTTTAAAAGAGGTCACGAAGAACGCACATACTGTACCTGAATYTCAGCCACTGCCAAGTTGAAATCAAAAATCCATGTCTTCTCAAAATATCTTTCCTTTAATCTTCCATATGAAAAAGAAAATACTTMATTTTTACACATCCTATTGAACTAGCAGAAGGTTAATAACAAATTATCACRTATCAACAATAAACTGATTTGATTTTTGATCCTATTTGCTTCTCATTACATGAACTGCRCACTGAAAACACTCATTTAAAATCTTGCCAAGGGAAGTTAGCACATTTATTAAACAAATAAKTGAGCACAGCTATTTTCAGAGAATATATTCCATTGTGTCAGTAGAAATGTATGTGAAAAGATACAAATAAGACTTCCAGTCCACCAAGTAAATGCAGAACTGCATTGTTGATGTTTCTGACAAATTGAGAATTGCTTCCTTGAAGTTCCTTGGAGCACAACAGTTTATTCTGCTGCTGCTACTGAAACACTGGRTACATCTCCCCAGTGCCACGCTATCCTGTAGAGATACATAACTTACATAACCCACACAACCTACACATGAATGTGYCAAGACATGATTTGAAGTAGCACAGCTGCTCAGTCTTCATAGGTACAGATCATTTCTCACCTTCCGCTGAACACACATACACACAGAGGCAACCTGGAAGAGGTCATGCCTTTGTGAATCAGATKCCTGATACAAAAAGATATAAAAAATACCACCAACACGTGTAGTAAGTTGCACTGTTAAAACACTGGGATCCATGGCTGAAAGTACWACATGGGAAAAGTATGCAAAAGCAGCAAATAATTTCTACAGTGCTTCCAGCTGGAACTGTGGCGGCTTGTTTTCAGACAGCAGATGCTGCATATTTGGTTTCCTCTAAGAATCAAAGGTACATTTATGAATCATAAATATAGTTTCTCAACTCGCACGTGTGTACATGCTGCTGATGATACAAAAAAGTATCATAATCTTGTTGAAGTGATGGGGACGCATCAACAGTTTTGGAACAGATTTGTCATTTTGCCCAGCATATTCCAGCACTACTTAAAAGATGACCCTCCTCCTTAGTAGTGYTGGCACAAATGTTTATGAAGTCACACTGTAAAGGAAACTAGAAAATTACTTCAGATTATACTTATTCTTATTGCCTAGAAAGGTTATTTATGGCAGAAGTACTGTTTACTTATGTGGGCCTAAATGATATATGAAACCATGATGTTTCTAATTTGACTAGCTATATGAAATTGTATCACAGCTAGCATAYGATTGTACAATGATGATTGATGTGAAAAAAACTAGTAACTGCAGTCAGAATCAAAGTTTTGAACTYAATAACCTTGATCTTTGAAGCACAATAGATTAACAGTGCTTTAAAATACAATGAAGCATGATTTGATAGTTTTTCGTTAAAAGTATCTTTTAAAGATTTTACATAAATTTATAAAAAAAGAGATTGAACAAGGAAAKAGATACAATTAGAAAATAGCGCCTAAAGACATACCTGGATCTTATGTTCAATACAGTACTTATATCCCAACTGGAAACTTGCAATTGGTGAAGTAACTTTAAAATGTAGTCAAAATGCTCAAACTCGAGGAACATACCAGCATCAATGAGCTGTAATATCAAATAATGTAAGAAAAGTAAGCTTACAAAATTTTTGATGACTTAACGTATCTTCAAAGATAAATGGCAAACAACWTTGGGAAAAACACATCACAGTGAAACTCAGTCAAAACCAAAGGAATAAAAGAAAACTGGTACTACAAATTCAGCTATTCACAATAACACTTTTAATATTGTTTCAGTACTGTTTTTTAAAGTGATATGTTTGAGTTTTAAAACAGGAAATRTATTTCAGAAATTCCAACAAGCAGCAGTAGTACAAACAAAACTCACCTTACAAAAGGTACTGATTAATGTAGGCACAGCATTTCTTATATTCAAAGAAGCCACATGCTCAAAAACTTTCAGGAGAACATCTACAGCTGGCTAATATAGACAAAAAAAGCACAATCAGTTTTGCAAACTCTGTTCAATTAGAAAGCTTAGAGATTCTGTAATAGGAACTTCTGAATTACTCCACTCACCCATGATTTGAGTACCAGAGTAAAAACAAACCTGTTATTACAAATGGCATAGTACTCAAAAAATGAAAACTATGAAACTAAGATTTAAAAGTATTACAAAGTCACCTACCAGTCTCTTGATTTGTACAACTACATTCAGTATCTGAAATACTTCCTGCAACAAACAATTGTTGAGCAGTGAAACAAGAAGATCATTCAGCACTTCAGAAGCAAAATCCACACCAGGAGTAACTTCTCTGTAATACTGCACAAATATTTGAACTGGAAAAGCAATTAATTGAATTTCATTTCAGAACAACTGATGCTAAACATTTTAACAAGTTATTTCCTTACATTTTATACACAGTTTAACAACCCTTATTTGTCCAAGATATTACAGGGCAGGGATATGAAGAAAYATAGGTGAAAGGATCCAGTTTGAACCTTAGTAGAAACAGACCRACTATTACAAAACATCTCCTATCATTGAGCTGAGCACTGTAAGMCCTGTAGGTTTCAAGAAAGCTTAGCTGGTTTGGTGCAGCGCAAGAAAAATGCACAAACTCAGGTTAGATTTGGTATGTATATTGAAGTAGTAAGGCCTTTCCAGACAGGAAGCTCCAGGAAGTGAAATGCAGTGTTAGAGCAGACGTCTCACAACCTGCAGTCTGCTGGTACCCAGTGTTACCCACATTGAAACACTCGTGTTCTGCATGGGAACACTGCAGCACAGGGTGCAACTGAATTCCCTGTTCACATTCTGCTACACTCTAAGAAGCTTTCAAAAACTTAAAGACTGCCCAGGACTGGTTTAAAGGGAATCACTGTCCAGAGTAAAAACAAAAAAAAAGTCCTTTCTGACAGAACTCAAAAGCTCAGATTGATCTGAATAAACTGCAGTCCCTAAAATGTGTTCATCATATTGCTTGCATATATGGTGTGAAAACTAAACTAAAGCTGTTTGGGGTGGGTGCATTAGCAACACTTAATATCAAGAGTTTCCATTCTCAAGTTTCGGGGTTTTTGATGTCTGCCCAGGGTGTTCAAAAGCACCTTAATAAAATTTGGGTTCTGGTAAGTCTCCCTCCTGCCCCATTTACCTATTTTTACTCCCAATCCAGTTACAGTCAGGCTAAGTTCATTTTATGTGGAAGTAAGATTTCTAACAAYCTCCTGAGGTAACTGCATATCTAAATATCTAGCCTTATAGGGAAACTGAACCATGAAAACACAGGGATTCAGTGTATTCATTAATTTGAAATAAGAACTTYTTATTCACTGCAGAAGTGGTAACCATTTCTCTCTTGACAGCCTATTTAATTTGCTTAAGTATCAAAGATACATTAAGAGCTACTATTATATCATACCTGCACGTTTTAGGAGGCCTGATTCTTTGATACTAATGTATGTCCTAAGAATTGCCATGCAAATCTGTAAAAAAAGAAAGAAATACAGTAATTATATAAAAATGCAAGCTCAGTTTATAACAAACAAAATAATTACCCACAAACATTGAGTTCTATTATGTAATGAGCTTTAMATTGCTTCTGTTTAAGCCATACATACTGACAAATGATGTAGGAAGGTAATGGGGTCTGTAGGCAAAGGCTCTGTCAAAAGTCCAGCGAATCAAACAGAAGAAAAATGCAGATTAAATGTTTCGGAAAGAGGCTGTTGGGACCAAACATGTGAGCACGTGTGTGTATATACCCATAGCAAACAAAAMAAGAAGAGAAATTTGAAAATGCAGTTACTTTTAAACTAGTATAAATGTGGCAACCTGTGAAAAAAGAAAGGGAAGCAAAAAGGCAAAAGTGAAAAATGATAAGTAAACGTTACATGAATGTACCAACTAAGATTTCAAAAAATCATCCAGAAAAAAAGATGGTAACACCAATTGTCAYAAAGAATCACTCATAAGGACACAGAACAAAAAGCTCACAATTAACTTGATTTACTGAGCCATTTTACCACAGACTGACTTGACTGAAAAAAAAATTCCGCACCTAGATATTTTATTGTTATTTGGAACATTCTTGTCTTAACATTTTAAGCTGTCACCTTTCTGATACTCACACATTTTGCTCCATCTCTGCAGATGAACAAATAAAGACTACTGATATTATATCTCAGAATTCCAAGTTAGAGAAAACTCCCACCCKCCCTTTCAGAAATTCTCTGTCACCTCTGGAACATTTACAGTCTTTCTGGACAGCATTGTAAATGCGTCATATGTAATTCTATTTTGTAAAATAGTGAAACATCAAGACAAAGAAAATGCCCTAAATTAGTAGTTATGGTAGTACAGAACWGAATCAGGTTTATTTTTACATGTAACTTCAGAATTACACAGGATTCACTCATGAAGTCTGTTATACAGCAAATGAATTATCATCAAAGCAGAAGATACTGGTTTATGGCCAAGACTTCTATCTTTTTTTAAAACCATTAACCTGTTCAGATCACCAAGCCAAAGAATACAATAATTGTACATCTAAGAATAAATAAAGCTTATTTTTATTTTGAAGCAGTACTGTAATGTTGAACCATAGTCCAAGGTGTACCTTTCAAAAATCACACAAAATTTTTGATCATTAATATATGTGAAGTGTCACTTGGCAACAGGTTAACTCATCTAATACAAATCTATACTCCCAGGTGACTGAGGCCATTTCCAGAACAAACTTCAGCACATGCTTGCAGTATGGAAATTAGTTTGCTTTCTTTTGGAATGCGTTTTTCTCCTTCTTTGGACTGACTCCCAAAAAAAGCCAAGATTGCATCTGGAGCTCTAACTGTTCCAAGTATTAATGAAATTGCTTGGAAAACTCACTCGTAGTAGTATTTAAAAAAAAACAAAACAAAAAAAACAAAAAATGGGACATGCTCTATTACATTAGTAAAAGAAACTAGATACATAATTCATTCAGTTTCTAAAAGGCTTCAGTTGATTTAGTTGTTCCAATTTTGAAAGGTGCAACTGCACCCACAGACTGTAAAAAATGTGAGAATCTTTAAATTTTGACTTAACTGTAATTGATTTTGAATGAAGGTACATAAAAGAAATGATTCCCATGTTCAAAAAGCAGTATAAATCACACTATTCTGTCATCTATCAGTTGATTCCAAAACTCATTTAACATGACAATTTAATAAAAASCGTAAGAAAGGCCTCTGTATGTCATACAATCAACCAACTCTCCAGTAAAACATGGTCCTACTACAGTAACACAGAGGTGTTTATTCAAAAGAACAAGCACAAGAATTCCCTAAATACTTGAGCATCTCCCAGTCAGTACAGATTCTAATMCTTAATAAGGAATAAAATCCCATACCGCATTTTTTTTTTCAGAGATCAAAAAATCTGATCTGATCTGATCCTGGTTCATCCAGGATCCATCTTACAGGAAGTTTCTGTATGCTGTGGAATCTTTGAGATGCACACTCCCTATCCACTACAGCTGAAACTGTTCAAAAGGTTGCAAGATCATTTAGTGGTGGTTAGAGACAGCAATAAAAGAACACTGTAAAGTCTAATTTCTTTAGGAAGCCATATAAAAAAACCACAAAAAACCACCACAGCAGTAGCATAAACCCAAGTGACTGAAGTTGCAAGACAACACTAATGAAGACAGAAATTCTCAAATTCTCCTATTTTATATCCTTTTTCCTTCCAGTTATGAGGTTCATAGGATCAAGGAAAAGGAGAGTATGAACTCACAAAAACAAAAAATTTCTTTTGTGGATAGGAGTAAAAAAAAAAATTAATGAGTAAGGTGCACAAAGCCAAAATAAAATCACAAAAATACATTTTGCATAAAGACATTTTTCAAACCACCTATTTAACCATGAAATCATCATCTATGTTACACTCTGAAAAGTTCACTTGAGCAAAACAATGTATTGTATTAAGGTCACTGTGTCTTGCCCTTTCACTGAGGACCACTGAGAAGAGTTCAGCTTAATCTCCTTTACCCTCTCTCCATCAGACACTTATACATATTGTTAAGATCCACCCCCCCCCCCCCCTTTAAATACTTTGGGAATTATTTAAAGCAGTCTTAATAATTTTGTTTACTTTCCCTAATACAAAACACATTTTACTGTTTGAAAATGAAAGGCATCTTTTTTAAAAAAAATAGCCAACCTGGTTACTTGTACAACTTGCTGAGCTCAAATGTATGATGTTTTTCAAAACACATGGTTTTATAAATTCAAGCACTGCTGTGTTGTGTGATCAACCACAACTGTGAAGTGTTAAATACCAGCAAGCTATGCCTTAGAACATCAACCCGTTACTTAATGAAAAAGAAAAAAAAAAATCCATTATGGGGAAATGTATTTCTCTTCAAAAATTCTGGTAACTATTATCACTGAGAACACAGCTCTAAGCAAGTGGACTAGCAGCCTGCGTCACAGTTCCTGAAGAGATTTATTCTCCTTTATAAGATTAGATGCCTTTATTGCTTCTTTACCTGTTTTCCATTTATGTACTTTGGTGCCACCATGAGGTGCTTGGCCTATTATAATTTTTAAAYAGACAGGTCTAAAAATAAAAATACATGCACCAACAAAATGCAACTATGCTTTCAGACTACCAAAAGTTTGGCTMGGTGGGCACAACAGTAAAAGTGTGGTGGAGTACTGCACCACAAGTAAAATCAAATTGAATGGATTTTTAATCGTTTTAGTCAAATAATTCTTCAATGTGCCTGTATTATAATGAAGCACTGCAAAACACAGCAATTCAGATAAACTAGCTGAAAATTAAAAATACTCACCACAGCCTGCCAAAAAACTTTCACACTTGACAAAAAAGTGAAAATGTTCCATACAAAAGTAATCTCAAATTATCTTAGTAATTTTAAGATGTCGCATAAAATTTCAAAAGGGTTAAAAAGCATTAGAAAAGAAAATGCAGCTTTTTTTTGAGCTATAGAGGAAAAGTGCAAACATTAAGAAAAATAGTCAAATTGCACTGATGTATTTTAAAAATTCTGACACAGTATATTTAAGACATCAGGAAGATGAATAAACTTCTCAAGGCATTAATTGTTTTTAGCAATTTAAYTGCAAATTATTTTTTACATTTCAATTCTGAATTTTTTTACTTACTGACACTAATGATAAAACTGCCCTCATAACAGTAAGATGGTAGGTAAGAAAAACATCTTTTAACACCTGATGAGGACAAGTTGAGCCATTAGTTATTGTTTAGTAGTTTTGATGCTTTTGTTTGCTTCCAAGTAAYTTAAAAAATTTTCACAGAGCCAATTTCAAAATCTTATTATATGTCAGCACAATTAGCTTGCATTGCATAGTTCTTGGAAGCATTAGACTCATAATGTCTCTGTTAAATCGTTTGAAAACGTATCTACTTTGCCCATCATTAGAAAACTATTTCTGCTTGCAAATATTATGATAATTGTTGCTCCATTTAAGGAGATTAGAGCATCTTAAAACAAAATGCCCATGTTGCACAAAACATGCAGAAAGTAATATACCATAGATGGCTTTTAACTTTAACAATGCATACAAAGTCTTTGCAAAGGTTTCTTAAAATGTCTGATACTCAGGATACAAACGTCGCAGAATCTGCCCACTCTGCTACTCTATGTTTGTACAGTCTAATTCTTGCTCTTTTGTTGAAACATGTTCTCTAAAAACATCTACTAGTTCAAAATCATACCATGTTTAAAAAAAAAAACAAACTTAAGAAGGCCTTGAACAGAAGAATTTCTGAATAATTTTTTCATACATCAATCTCTGTGATTTACTCCCTTTCCACATATAAATGAAGAATGGAGATGATGTTTTGCTTTTAGAAGGTGTTCACACTTACAATAYTTTCCTTACTTCAATAAATCTTTTTACCTTTTCATCCCCTTGTCCAGGAACATGACAGAACCAACATTTTGTCCTTTCACACCCACGTGAAGTCATGAAATAATATCTGCAGTATTTACGGGGCAAGTTAAGTGCATCAAGGATCTGCTGGACTGAATGAGAAGCCTGGAATAAAATAAAATTACAACAAGCAGAAGCAGCCAAATAATATTTCTTGAAAGCAAATATGCTATTTTTTTCAGAATTTCAAAATATCTAGAAAATATAAACAAAAGCAAAAAAAAATATGATCTACAATTAAGCCTCTGAAAGAACCCTCATCTCTATACTGTATTTACAGCRTTTCAAAGGACACAAAGATCAATCCCTTATCCTGTCATGTTTGTGTCAACAAAAGCCTGTCTTGAAGAGCACAAACAGGGATAATGCAAGAACTGCTAAATGAGATGGACAATGAATAGAGAGGAGGGAGAATGGTGACAAGCTCCTGCACATCTCTGAGTAACCATCTGAGAATTCTGGGGCATCAATTTCCTTTACCCTTTTCAGTGCCCAGCATCATGGATAAAGCAGGCTGTCCTAAAGAAGTGAAACCTTGTCGGCTTTTCAGTTCTACAGAAACCAATAAAGCAAAACGCATTATTTGATTTTGCTTAAGCTGAAAACAGAAATCAAGAAAACGGCACTGTGTACAGCTGTCCCTTCACCACTGATTTTGTTGTCAGAAATTGTATTTGCTCAGTGATAACATCTTTAAAGGTGTAAAAACATAAACATATACAGATTCATAATTTCTGACTTGATACACTGGGAACAGTCTGAATAGCCATAAGAAATTTGGTGCCAAAAGATCAGAAATCAAAAATTTAACAACTCACAATTGCGTTTTTCTCCATCTTCCATGGCTCAATATCTCCACAATTCTTAAATGGCAGTAAAGCACTCCTTTCTGAAGATTTGTAACCTAAAAATTAGGATGAGGGCAGCAAATCGCATAATAAAAATGAATCATACTGAAACTACTCTCATTTATCTTATTTTCCTTTATATTTATAGCTCCTTCAAATGACAGCAATGATGAATGAAAATTTGATTAATACAGTCTAAAGCCAGTAATTTAAAGCACAGTTTTCTTAATTATCCTAAAAGTGAGACTTTACAAACTTCAAGAGTAAGCACATTTAAATTAAAAACTTCACTACTTTATCCAAGGTCTCTACTCTAACTTACAGAGATAAGAAAAAGAATAAAAATATCCAGAAGTTTTAATTTCAAAAGGAAAAAACCCTATCCACTTTATCAGTAATCTCTGCATTCCAACATCACTAGCCCTAAATTTAAGCTATTTTTTCAGAACTGATAGAAAACCTTTCATACTGGTATAAGTAGCGCAGTAGCAAGTTTAAGCCCAATGTAAGTTACTGGTTTCTTAACCATGAAATATRGTTTTAGAACTTTAATAATTATTGAATGACAGTTTCTTGCTTTGAAAAATGAATAATTTTAATGGAAGATAAGTTCAAATTTTCAACTCCGTATCTAAAGACAAATGACAGTTATGGAATGCCCTGCTTTCTAGGGCTCCCATCTGGCCCCTTCAAAGAACTGGGTGCTCAAAAGACAGGGTGCTTAGTCCTTTCTGACAAACTACAGTTGCTAAAGAGCATCCAATAATGAAGGTTCTACTAGAGACTTACACTAGGTACACTGCTCTTAATCTGCATGCCTTTCTAAACAGATAGGGCTATTACAGGATAGGAAGGAAAAGTTAACGTAGAACAATGAAGATTTAATGTTATGTACTGCCACACTGCAAACCCTTGTGAAGTGATGGTGGGTCATTTGATAAATTCAGGATTGGATATATTTAGTGGTAAGAAAAAGACTGACAAAACAGCCAACCACTAGCCATAGAAAAATGCCACTGAGAATTTAATCTCAAAATGTCACTGAGAATTTGATCTCAAAATGCCACTGAGAATTTGATCTTTCCTCCGGAATCTTGCCATCCCCAAGCACAGAATTTTTGACCACGTCTAGTCAAGAGTTTGTACTCTCCCTGGGGACTGTGGGTCAGACTTGTAGGGAAGCAGGAACTAAAGTGAAAAGTCAATCCTGCCTGCACAGCTCTGTGAATARAAGGCTCTTTTGCCCTGTCCTAGCACAGAAACTCTTGCATTGGCAACTTTCAAATGATTTTAAGAAGATTTAGAAGAACTCTTCAGAAGTTATATATGCTTTTGAGGCCAAAGACATGASCAGTTTCAAACAACTGGATTCTGAAGAAATACTCAAACTTGCTTTTAATAGCATCTGTATTTCGTGAAGTACCTGAAAATACTGTTAAATGATGTGATGATAAATTCGTTCTACAAGCTCAGATTGATGGTAGAATTGGAAACTAAACAAGAACCCCTGCCAATGATCTTAATTCAAGAAATCCATGTTTATAAACATCCATATTAACAGTAATTCTAAAAACATTAACTCCCAAAGCAGCTGTTGCAAAGAAACTGAATGCAGTATCTATAAGTAATCAATTCCTGGTTTTCTCTACCTTGTACACCAAATAAACAATGCATTTATGAAAGGCTAAATGTCCAGTTTGTTATGTGCAGTGACTACAGTTCCATTATATTATCATTCCTCTTGTGGCAGAGACACTTAAGAGGTATCTGTCCCAGTTGTGAAATATACTTGGTCAACATGAAGTGTTAGCTATTAAGTATACATGATTTCCTTGATCCAGTCTAGTGAATTTCTCAAAAACTTTGGAATTAGCATAAACAACAGAGTTCTGGCCTTCAGCAAGGTGGGCAAACCACTTTAGCAAGTTTTGTTAAGAACAACCAACTAACCAAATSCAGTCACATTCTCTGCCCACAAATCAAGAAAAGTAAGTTACTTGCTAGTAATGTCTCAAACACAATGTGTCAGACTACTAAGAATGCAGGCACTGCTGTACCATTAACATATCTGAGAACCATAAATATCAAGATAGAATGATTTCTATCTGACCTTACCAAAGAGAATTCTGAAAAAGTCCAACCCAAAACCCCTCACTAACCTATCATATGAGAGCTTGCAGATTTGCTTTTGTATATGCAAAATAATATTCCAGYCAATACCTTCAAGAACTGAAGACAGCGTTTAAGATTTCATAGGTAAATAAAATACCAAAAAAACCAAAATTCTGAAGAGTTCATCAAAACAGCATACAATACCATTTGTCCAGGATTTCATCACTGTAGCTTCACTGAAGAGATTTACTTCATTCAATGGCAATCTGGACAGTAATTCACAGTTCACGTTGTACTTACAGTCACTGTTGAGTATTAAAAAAAAATTGTTCAAATTCATTTGTTTAACTAAATTAAACAGGTGCTTCTCTCATATACTGCATGCCTAAAAAGGGAGATTAAGTGTATAAAAGATGAGAACTTCTTCAACGATTTACACAACACTTCAAAACTTGCTGTAAATTTAAAYAGCCAGCAGTCCCAAGAATTTTACTTTAATTACTCTCATTGCCTGGCCCAATCTGATYATGATTTTAGCTGAGATTATTCTGCCCAAAGGCATAACTACATCTGCCAAAGGAGTAAACCTCAAGGCTTTTCTAATGACATTTGAAGAATGAACTGTTTTCCATCCCTAAAACTGACTACTGGGCAGAAGATKTAGGTAATTTCAAAGGCAACTCCCATTAAAGACTCTTCAGCCTTTATTCCCAAATATGTATGATCCAGAGAACAAAATTAATAAATGATGATGTTTTCAAAAATTGGCTAAAATATTGCTAGCAAAATACTTAGTAATTTATTTCATATGTGTAAACAAAGCCATGGGAAAAATCATCTCATGAGATCTCCCTCCCTTTCACTTTAGAAACATGGCTCATTACGAAGGACATTTCAACTTGCTCGCTCCTCTGCAGATAGAAAGAGAGTTGCTATCTACTATGAGAGATTTTAGCTATACAACACTTCTAACAGCCAGGATAATTCACATCATTCCTAAATGTCAGGATGTTTCACAATTTAAATAAAAATGCTATAGTAGAGAGGAAGAAATTCCATCTAACAAACCAAATTCTTTYAATATCAATCTTTATTCTTGGCAATGCGCTGGGTTGGTTTCCAGAGGGACAACAGATCTGCAGTTTTAGTTACTCAGAAATTTCAAGTTACCAWGTAAAATATTCTTATGCTCCCTCATGATGCCAGACTCAGATCTAACACAGCAGGATTTTCATATCAGCTTACCCTCAAGACCTCTTCAATCTAGACATGAAACTACACACAATTTTGCCAGGAACTGTAAACTACAGAGCTCTATAATAATTTTTTCTAGTAACAGCATCACTAGATGTGTAGTTTGCTAAATAGGAACAGCAACTGTTTTCCTCTAGATAAAACAATGCACACCTTTGCAATGGTAACATTTTTGAGTAAAACTAGAGACAATAGCTCAACTCCAAATTAAGGCCTCTTCTCTAAATCACACAGAGCAGTGCATTGCACAAACATACTTTGTCCAGCATAATCTACTTATTCTATAGTATAAAGAACTATTTATGTGACTCTGGTAAAATTAAACGGGTATTTTAGCAGAAGAAGCAGCTTGGAGCTCTCTAGTGGATTAACGAGAAGATGCAGTATTCTCCATTAAGAGACTTCTGGCACTCAAATCTGTCTCAGAAATGTGAGTGGTGCRRGAAATAAAAGCAGTACTCTCTTCTRTGTCAGCTAAGGTTTCTTCATTATTTTGAAAATTACTGTGTCCTGGTTCCATCCAGGWSAGAGTTAATTTTTGCAGTAGCTAATTGGTGATGGCTGCTCCTAAACCACAACACTCTGAAGTATGTTATTTTTCTTCTAAATACTTAAGAATTCCATTTTAAGTATACCTTTCCTACATAAACTAATTTTCCATCATTTCTGGACTGCTGATGAWTGAAAATATCTTAGTCTGACAGTAACTGATGATTGGACAATCACCCACCATATGAAATTCAACAATGGAAAGCGATGGGTTCTGCACCTGGGATGGGACAACACTAAATGTAGGGACAGAGTGGGGAATGACAGGCTGGAGAACAGCACTGTGGAAAGCAACCTGGGGGTCCTGCTTGATGGCAAGTTGAATATGAGTCAGCAATGTCCKGGTAGCCAGTAGAGCAAAGCATGTCCTGCCATCAGGCACAGAATTGCCAGCCRGGCAAGGSAGAGGATTGYCCCASTCCGCTCTGCAATGGGGTGGCCTCACCTTGAATATTTTGYGCAGTTTTGGGCACCACAATGTAAGAAAGACATTAAGCTACTAGAGACTGCCAGAGGAGGGCAACRAAGATGGTGAAAGGTCTTGAGGAGAAGCTGAAGGAGAACTGGCTGAGGTCAGGYTAACTGGCTGCTCTGCTCAGCCTGGAGAAGTCTAGTGGGAGAGCTCATGGCAGTCTACRCTTCCTCGTGAGGGGAAGAAGAGGGACAGACACTGATCTCTTTTCTGGTGACAGAACCCAAGGGAATAGCCTGATATTGTGTCAGGGGAGGTTTACATTGGATATCAGAAAAAGGTTTTTCACCCAGAGGGTGGCTGGGCACTGGAAGATGCTCACCAGGGACATGGTCACAGCACCAAGCTTGAGAGAATTCAAGAAGCATTTGGACAGTACTCYTGGGCACATGGTTTGACTCTTAGGAATGGTACTGTGCCGGGCCAGAGAAGGATYTGATGATCCTTATGGATCCCTTCCAACTCAGCATATTCAGTGATTCTGTAAATCAGACTAAGAAACAATGTGCACAATAAAAACSGCAAACGCAGCTTGAAGCTACAAGAATAGTAAAGCATGTCCTTAACTCATGTGACATGTTTTTAAGCACCTTTTTCTATTGCTGTACAAATATTTGTCAGTCTGAATTTTAATGAGATCTTTCAACGCTTTCATAAGCAGAAAAGAAAAATGAAAGCTTCATGATTTATTTATTACTAGTTTTTGGTTTTGTTAAGTTCTGGTAAGTGCTAYTGTGGCAAGAAATGCATCTGATGCTATACTCACATTGAGATGCAGAAGTGAGACACTAAAATAAAGTGGATGTATTTTGTCACCAATCAAAAGCCAAAATAATCTCYATTGTTCTGTCAGGCTATGACTACACTTGTTCTGCACTTTGCAGAGTGAAATTGTATTATTTCAAATATTTCTTTTCTTTATCACATAGTTACAGTAACACGGAAAATTGAATTAAATGCTGATGGTGTTTAGGTAACAATGTCACATTTCATTTGTATAGTAAATGGGGAACACCACAGGTTACAAGAAAGATACACTATACATACCTTTTTACAGCTTCACTCTTTTTTTCTTCTTCAACATCAGGCATTCCATCTGCAAGCTGGAACTGTGAAGATATTTAAAAGTTATTTTCAGGTACAGCAAAGCACTACAAAGCCTGTTATGCTTTACTCTATAGACTTAAAACTGTAAGTGGTCATTGGAAGGTTTGGTAAGGCAGTCTTAACTGTAAAGACTGTAATTTGGTGTGTAGGGTTACTGTTACAATATCTTTRTTAATGGACATAATGCCTTTATATTCTGTGTTCTTTAAAATAGTGATTATAAATCAGAAAAAAAAGTGATGTGACTGTCTTCTCTTTCCTCCCACTAATAATCTCAGCAATTTTTAGGCCCACTGCCCGATTTTGACTGTGCCTGACAAGATATGTGGAAAACCACAAAAGTAATTCCATCAATTTTAATGAAATTTGAAACTGAACCAAAGAGGAATTTTGCTCAGCTGTACACTACCGTGGATTGTTAAAAAAATCCCTGACAATATGGAGAAAAAAGACAGCACAAAATATATTTGGAGGMGAGAATCTGAAAAGACTAATTCTGAATAAAGTCCTAGAATCCTGGCTTTGTTTCGTGCATTACTCATGAAGTAACTTAGGACTTGATATCATATCACAAATTTATGACAGCCAAAGAATTAGAGATGCACATGCTCTCACTGGATTTTCAAACTTTATTTTATCAGAGAGTTTTATCCAGAGAATTTTTAGCATTTTCTCTATGGTTCTTTTTTGCCCTTCTCACAGGATTATTAATTGGAAAAACCATCCAAAAAGCAAAATCTGAAAATCTCCCCAAACGGCAGAGTTGCAACAAGTGTTCTGCCACTGCATTCCCCCCACAGGCATGAACTGCTTTTTKCTATCCACATACAGAACAGTTTTAGGTAAGGCTTAGTATGTATKTTGTGGTTTAAGTTTGGGATGAGTAAGATTATTTGTACTCGAGTGAAGATATTTTCACTATCCAACAGAGCACCAAGCACTAGGACACTGATTTTATACAGCCACAAGACAACCCAGCTGGGACTGACCTGGCAATATTGCAACAAGCACCCCACCTTCAGCAATTAAGTACAGTTTGACATGCCCTTTTTGTCTCTCCAAAAGGTCAGGAAACAAAATGGCACTGTTAATTTTATGAATTGCATGTTAGCAGCCCCAATTCCATTTAGTGAAGGAAATGTTTCTCTTCTTTTAAATTATTTTGAAAGGGAAACTGATTCTCTGCTGTTTGAGTAACTTCTCAATTACTTAYCAATTTTTAACCATGTGAATTTTACAGTGTAACTTATCCAGTTAAAAACTATTCCACTCTTGAAGTAGTGGAAGACAGTAAACGCTATCAGCAGCTACATCCGAGTGGCAGAGAGATCTTCTTATCAAAGAAGCAAATGATATAAAACTTATGCAAATCTTAAAAGACTAAACTTATTATTTAGAGGAGGGAGGTCAAATGAAAGTAGAAMGGTCAGACAGTCAGTGAGCATGCAAATGATTTCCTCTGAATAGATGGGAATATTAATGTTAATGTAAAGGCCCTCTTGTCCAAGTSTGATCCAGAATGATCCTTCTTGGATGCATGATGGCTGTGCAGCTCCCCAGGTCTCCAACACTACCCCATGCTTCTGATATTGCGTGGTGAGAAACATTTCACAGCAACTTCTAAAACTAGGTAAGTTATAAAAAAAATGTCACATTTGCAAAGTAGTACTCATAGATGTTCACTGGAACAGTAATTTTCATACCATTGGTAATACAGCATTACTGCAACACTGATATAACAACATTCTGTTTTATTGCAAATTTGAAGATGAATTATGGTGACCAAAAAAAAATTCTGTTAAGCAAAGATTACATTATCAATACACAGTAATCTGTGAAATGCTAATATTCTTTTTTATTACTGGAAATAAAAAAATTAGTTGATAAAACAGAATTAGTAATTAAAATTATGCAATTACGTGGATTTTAATTTCTTAAACTATTTAAGGAGAGAAAATGTAATTTCTCAGGACCTTTTCATCCATGTCAAAACTCTCCAAAAGTTCATCCAGCTTGCTCTGTTGTTGCCCATCTTTAAAAAAGTCCTCAATAACATCTCCCGTAGGACTGCTTCCTCTGGAGGAGTTGCAGGTTTTCACATGTTCAGCTGAAAATGTATAAACACATTGCTTTATGTATTTCCCATGCTACATGACAACAAAGCTTTTATTTCCTAAATATTACAAAGGCTTAGTACTAATGACATTTAAGAACTCCYAGGACTTCCTGAAAGTGAAATGTATATGGAAAAAAATTTCATGCTTAAGGCAGGAACAATTTCAAATAAATATTAGACTGAATCTGCAATTAAAATTCTATCCAAGTTGTACGTTCTGTAATGGTCCCTGTAGAACAGTACAACAGGTTTATTTATGGAATATTAAATTCACTATTTTAGGAATAAATTCAGTCAAGCTTTTTTTTTTTAAAACACAGCCAAATATATGTATTTGGCAATTTGCTATGCAAAAGACTTAGTCTTTGTCACAAAAGGGCATATGTCAATCCTAATGACATGGTGCAACACTGAACTAAATATAGATACCTCTGAGAAACTGCAGATTCCTGTAATACCGTAAATTTAATGAAAATTCAGTGTCAGGAAATTTCAGCACCTTTTGCAGAYGTCACAGGAAACAATACACCTGGCTGCAACTTTCTGAAATAGCTGTTTATGCACAACAGAAGAGTTCTGCATAAAAAAGGAATTCACTACTGGATCACATGAATGAATTTCAACTTCATTGTCCAGACACAGGAAAAAAGAATTGGAGAGTAYTGGAAGAGCTTTTTGTCTTATAGTCACTGGTCTCTCTGTACATCTGGTTGAAGACAACACACACAAGATTCCGCTCGAAAGGTAAAGAGGATTAATGTMATCCAGAATATTTTATCTTTAGTACTGCTTCCCCTTCTTAAATGGCGAAGCCACTAGGGCAAGCAGCCACAACCTCACTATGTAACACAGGRCACTAAAGCAGTAACACATTTCTAAATTAATACATAATTAATTAGCAAAACCAGGCACCTTCTTTTGCTCTGTGCAGGTCTTTTTCAAAAGGCACATATTAAAAGTAAGTTACTGTGCGCACATTCATCTAAGATGATAATGTGATCCTGTTTCTCAGATATGGGAAGGATTTTTCTTTATTTTAAGCACCACAAAAAGAACCAAAGACTTTCAGCCTCAAACTTTGGTAGAACATGAAGTAGAACAGCAAAGAAAATGCAGAAGTTACTGAATAGTACAGAACTTGAGGCCAGATTTGGCTTCAATCACCTCAGCATTGCAGACTCCATGGCACAGGCCCCCCTTCTCTTTACATGACCATAGACTTCCTCTCTTCTCCGCCTCAGGGAACTTGTACCTATTTCTTCTATCTGAGCTCTTAAAACCTCTTTTTTATTTTTGCCTTCTAAAACCTGAAGCCTGAAATCTTCTCTTYCCCTAATTGTCACTAGTCACTCCTTTCCAGGAGGCTCTATATGCCCAAATCACTCTTTCTACATGAACATAACACATTAATGTGGAAAACCAGCACAAGAGGTAYTGTCACAGACACCTTTCAAACCTGAAGCAAAATCAACACGTCACAATGTCAGATTAAGTTGACAAACTGGTATCAGAAAGGGAAACACCACAAACAACACAATTGTTCTCCACTGTGTCAGTAACAAACTTCTATTCAAAATCAAAATCCTGTTCCTCCAACTATCTAATAGAAATTTCAACATCAGGTATACCTTGCACAATAAATCTGGTATGCAAGCTGAAGAAAATAAATCACATCCATATGCAGCCTAACTGGACTGTTCTGCTTTAAATAGGAAGAAAAAAAACCCATTAAGTTAGAAGTAACCTTACTTATTAAAAAGGGCATCCTTCAAAAACAAAACAGTGTCTCAGTGGAATGGGCATAGCATCCACAAAAATACCCCAAAAGGAGAACCTGGAAATAAACCTGATTACAAAACTCTGTGTGCTGATGAACATAAGAGAACAACCACCTCTAACTGKGAGCTAAACTCCAAAAGAGTATCACAGCATTCAGTGTCTAACTGTGATCTCAACTAATGGAATTCTTTGCCTAATCTATCAGAGAAATGTCACAAAACCCCACAACCAAAACCAAACAAAAATCCCCACCCCAACCCACCAGTACTACCAACAGTCAAATACTACAGAGAAGCAGACTCAGGCTTGTGCCATTTTGGAAGATGTTGATTTCATATGCATTAGGAAACCATCTGCTGTTACAACAAAAACAATACAAAAACAGACAAGATCCTCCTCTTTTGTGGAAAGCAGAAAGCCTAGGTTTTGCCACAAAACATCTTTTTGATTTCTTTCTTTTGATTGCATGTCAAAAAAAAAATCCAGAGACTCTTACCTTTTAATACCAAATTACAGGAATTTTCAGTATCATTTGACTTTTCAGTACCATTCAGTATCATTCCAGATTCTTGCACATATCTGAATGGAACAAAAAGATTATTACAAGATTTCCACCTTGCACAAAAGCAAAAATAATCTACRAGTGACATAAAATCAAAAGTTCTCAGTAATACTTTCAGCCATGAATCCTTATATCCAACACACTGCTCTAAGACTCTCTTTAACTTTCTCTTTTGTCTTTCTTAAGTTCATCCCTTCAGGTATATTCCTAAACAAGTTAAGTAAAACCAAGACATTTCAAATACTAAAATTTTCAGAAAAAGCTCATTGTCTCATTTAATCTTTGCCTAAAACACTGAGAAGGGAAATTTTCTCCGCATAGCAAATAAAGGAAAATACTGTGCTAATGTGCCAATTTATCAGTTTCTAAAAAATGTTACAGTATTTTTATATTCAACATCTTTTGCATAGGAATGACTCTCAAAGAAAGTAATAAAAATAACTGTTCACAGAAAGATACTTCACCTATTTCAAAGATAAGCTGGGAACTTAGAAAAGCTCAGGAGGTACAAATACATAGTTAAATATTATGTACAGAATATATAAAACATCATCATTACAGATTTAGGAAGTGACCAGTACTCTTCTCTTTCTAAAATGCAAGCACCAGAGAAGTAACTTGTTGAAATCCGAGTTGTATTTGGTTAAAGTCAACCAAAAAAATATTAACTGGCCCTGATCTGATATGATCTGATATTATCTGGTGATACCATACGGTACCTGATAAAACTGTGTTAAGGTCTATTGCCTTATTTTAATGTTCTCATATTTAGTTCATTAATATGTTGGTGACTGCTACCAACTATGGTTAGTCACCATTTAATGACCTTTGCATCAAATGATGGAAGATAAAAAACAAAATAAGAAATTTTACCTGATTGTGCAGCAAATCAAGGGAAAATCCTAAGAAACACGAACTCTGCATTTTTATTTTCCTTGGCAAATAGCAAACCAATTCAACAGGTATCAAAAAGAAAGTTTYAGTATGACTTCAAACAACTTCATTTTTCATCCCATGATTGCTAATGCTGCTCTAAGTCAATGTAATTACTAATTAAAGGGAATATTTGTCCTCCCCTATAAAGTACTTACAAGATCCAGTGAAATTTTCAGTTAATATTTAGATAAATAGCAACATTTATTACCATAACCAATACATGAGTGTAAAGGGCTCAGACGTTCTGTCTCCCATTCTGTGTAAGAGTTTTCTGGACAGTCAGCTAGAAACCACAGTCATTATTACCCTGGGTAATACACAGCAAATACTGATTCTGTTATACCATGCATATGAGATACCTTACACACCGTGCCCAAAACGAATACTCCTTCTAATAGAATTTACCATAAACTCTAATAAATTTACCATGATAAAGTCTAGCTGCCTCTTAAGAAGTTGGGTGTTCCTACTACAGACTTGCCCTGCTCCCTAGAGGCTTGTTTTTGCAGGAATTTTATTCTATTAACATCTGAAAGTTTTATATTCCCACGTTCAAAAAACTGTTCAGCACCTCAAAGAAAATTCCCTTCCTCTTTTGCACATGGGTTTAATGAAATGGAAAGGATAAGGAGAGCAGGGAGTAAAAAAAATAATGCAGTTGTTAGGTGGTATAATGCTGCTAAAAATTRAAGCACTACTTAAAATACAGGTAACATAAAGCCACCCAGAAATACCACACAAAGAAAATTAGAACACCCATTCCAAGAACTATTCTTCAGAGAAAGATCCTGAGTTATTTCTATCTAAACTCTATGTTTTTCTTGGTAAAATGAAAAATTCAGTCCTACATTTTTTTTCACTAAACACAAGTAGCAAAGCTTAAGAGAGAAAACAGACCAGACAGTCAATGAGTTCATCTATTCCATGAAGAACTACCTCATTTACAAAAGTTAGTTTCTACTTTAAACCTCTTTTCCTCTTCCTTTGACCATCATCTCAAAATCCAGTAAAATAATAATACCAAATTATTTACACCAGCAACTTGCTGAATGAAGATACAGAATCATAAACCTCTGCAACATCTTAGCCAAATTACACATTTGAAAAATATTCGGATCTGGGGATAGGAGAAAAAGAGGGAAGGAGAATGGCAGAATGGAATACTGCTGTAGAGATGACCATTTACTCTTACAGATCCAAGAGAAGAAGAAGCTAAACCTAAGAAGTAAAAATATTTCTGAGTATTATACCACTTTACAACTAAGAAATCTGCCTTCAAAGTGGCATCTGCTATCTCCAATCAGGTCAGATTAAGAATATTACTTTTAATTATCTTTGTTTCTGTTTTCATATTTCACTTCACTTTGTTTAAGTTGTTTAGGACTACCCTATCCTACAATTYGGAGTTATCCTAGCTCTTCTGAAGAACAAATGACCTGCATTCAGAATACTGYCATAGCTCAATCAAATTTTGACACCTAAAATCAAATAAAGAGATTAATTTCAYCAGAAATTAGTGAAATACTCTAATGAAACTTCACCACTACAACTAAAATATATGGAAACGAGTWAAAAGTACTTGGGAATATTGTGATTAAAAAAGAATTATATGCATACCTAAAACTTTTCTCTACTGCATATGTCTTTTCTGAGGTAACGGGAGATTCAGGCTTTATATACTGCTTTGTGCTTTTAATGCAGTTTGCAGAGGATGCTTTCACTGGACAATTTGCACAGTGTGCAGGCGCAAGCTCCTCTTCATTAGTGGTTCCAAAAAGGTCAGGGTCATCCTGAATCACATCAATGACAAGAACATCTTGGTTGTAAGCTTCAAGGATATCTGGTAAATTTTGACTTTTGTGTTGTGAAAGATTCCTTCTTGATTTTTTAYCATCATTTATTTCTAATCCAACAAGGTGGTCAACTGAATTCCATAAATCATCAGGAAAACTAGATTTCAGCACACATTCAGTATCACAGACATCAGGGACAGATGACTCTGGCTGTCCATCAAAAAGAGGATGTGGATGTGCAGAAAAACTTTCAGGGAGCAYAGATATCTCATTTGAGAGGTTTACGGAGCCATCATGATGGAATTCCTTACTGTCAATCTCATCTATTTTTTTCTGTATGGAAGCTGTAGATGTAGCATCATCCACGACAGGAAGAGGAGGCTGCTCAGAATTTACCAAGAAWGTCTCTTCACCTGTCTTCTGCCCTCCTGAAACACTAGTGCTTCCAAAAAGCTCTAGTGGACTACAAGTTTTTCTTTCAAATGAATGGATAGACTCCAATTTCTTGGATTCAGATTTGCTTCTGCATAAGGGAATTTTGAAATTTGCCAGGTTTCCAGAGTTTAATGGTTTAATTAGCTTTAAATCAGAAAGTGTCTGGTTCACTACTGATATGTTAGGGCTGAAATTTATTCTATTAGTGTTACTGGTACAAGCACCATTCTGGACTGTTGCAGGCAGGTTTCCCTTTGTCACATCTCCTTCATTGTCATCCTTTTGTCTTGTACCATTCTGGACTCTCACAGGCAGGTTTCCCTTTGTCACAACTCCTTCACCTTTATCCTTTTGTTTTGYTGTACCATTCTGAACTGTTGAAGGCACGTTTCCCTTTGTCACATCGACATCTTCATCTTTTTGTTTTTTTGTACTGTTCTGGACTGTTGCAGGCAGGTTTCCCTTTGTCACATCTCCTTCATTGTCATCATTTTGTCTTGTACCATTCTGGACTCTCACAGGCAGGTTTCCCTTTGTCACAACTCCTTCACCTTTATCCTTTTGTTTTGTTTTACCATTCTGGACTGCCACAGACAGGTTTCCCTTTGTCACATCTCCTTCACTGTCATCCTTTTGTCTTGTACCATTCTGGACTCTCACAGGCAGGTTTCCTTTTGTCACAACTCCTTCACCTTTATCCTTTTGTTTTGTTGTACCATTCTGGACTG